GACCACATACTAGGCCACAAAAAGAGCCTCAGTAAATTCAAAGATTGAAATTCTACCAACCAACTTCAACTTCTCAGACCACAAAGGTATAAAACTGGAAATAAACTGTACAAAGAAAGCAAAAAGGCTCACAAACACATGGAGTCTTAACAACATGCTCCTAAATCATCAATGGATCAATGACCAAATTAAAATAAAGATCAAGCAATATATGGAAACAAATGATAACAACAGCACAAAGCCCCAACTTCTGTGGGACGCTGTGAAAGCAGTCTTAAGAGGAAAGTACATAGCAATCCAGGCCTATTTAAAGAAGGAAGAACAATCCCAAATGAATAGTGTAAAGTCACAATTATTGAAATTGGAAAAAGAAGAACAAATGAGGCCTAAAGTCAGCAGAAGGAGGGACATAATAAAGATCAGAGAAGAAATAAATAAAATTGAGAAGAATAAAACAATAGAAAAAATCAATGAAACCAAGAGCTAGTTCTTTGAGAAAATTAACAAAACAGATAAGCCTCTAGCCAGACTTATTAAGAGAAAAAGAGAATCAACACACATCAACAGAATCAGAAACAAGAAAGGAAAAATCACGATGGACCCCACAGAAATACAAAGAATTATTAGAGAATACTATGAAAACCTATATGCTCACAAGCTGGAAAACCCAGAAGAAATGGACAACTTCTTAGAAAAATACAACCTTCCAAGACTGACCAAGGAAGAAACAGAAAACCTAAACAGACCAATTACTAGCAATGAAATTGAATCAGTAATTTAAAAACTACCCAAGAGCAAATCCCCCGGCCAGATGGATTTACCACGGAATTTTATCAGACATACAGAGAAGACATAATACCCATTCTCCTTAAAGTTTTCCAAAAATAGAAGAGGAAGGAATACTCCCAAACTCATTCTATGAAGCCAACATCACCCTCCTACCCAAACTAGGCAAAGACCCCACCAAAAAAGAAAATTACAGACCAATATCCTTGATGAACATTGATGCAAAAATACTCAACAAAATATTAGCAAACCAAATTAAAAAATACATCAACAGGATCATACATCATGACAAACTGGGATTCATCTCACGGATGCAAGGATGGCACAACATTTGAAAATCCATCAACATCACCCACCACATAAACAAAAAGAAGGACAAAAACCACATGATCATCTCCATAGACACAGAAAAAGCATTCGACAAAATTCAACATCCATTCATGATAAAATCTCTCAACAAAATGGGTATAGAGGGCAAGTACCTCAACATACTAAAGGCCATATATGATAAACCCATGGCCAACATCACACTGAACAGTGAGAAGCTGAAAGCTTTTCCTCTGAGATCAGGAACAAGACAGGGATGCCCACTCTCCCCACTGTTATTCAACATAGTACTGGAGGTCCTAGCCACAGCAATTAGACAAAACAAAGAAATATGAGGAATCCAGATTCATAAAGAAGTCAAACCGTGACTATTTGCAGATGACATGATATTGTACATAAAAAATCCTAAAGACTCCACTCCAAAACTACTACAACTGATGTCAGAATACAGCAAAGTTACAGGATACAAAATTAATACACAGAAATCTGAGGCATTCCTATACACTAACAATGAACTAATAGAACAAGAAACCAGGAAAACAATTCCATTCACAATTGCATCAAAAAAAATAAAATACCTAGGAATAAACCTAATCAAGGAAGTGAAAGACATATACCCTGAAAACTATAGGACATTTTTAAGAGAAATTAAGGAGGACACTAACAAATGGAAACTCATCCCATGCTCTTGGCTAGAAAGAATTAATATTGTCAAAATGGCCATCCTGCCCAAAGCAATCTACAGATTTAAAGCAATCCCTATCAAATTACCAACAGCATTCTTCAACGAACTAGAACAAATAGTTTAAAAATTCATATGGAACCACCAAAGATCCTTAATAGCCAAAGCAATCCTGAGAAGGAAGAATAAAGTGGGGGGATCTCTCTCCCCAACTTCAAGCTCTACTACGAAGCCACAGTAATCAAGACAATTTGGTACTGGCACAAGAACAGAGTCACAGACCAGTGGGACAGAATAGAGTCTCCAGACATTAACCCAAACATATACGGTCAATTAGTATCTGATAAAGGAGCCATGGACATACAATGGGGAAATAACAGCCTCTTTAACAGCTGGTGTTGGCAAAACTGGACAGCTACATGTAAGAGAATGAAACTGGATTATTGTCTAACCCCATACACAAAAGTAAATTCAAAATGGATCAAAGACCTGAATGTAAGTCATGAAACCACACAACTTGTGGAAAAAAACATAGGCAAAATCTCTTGGACATAAACATGAGTGACTTGTTCATGAACATATCTTCCTAGGCAAGGGAAACAAAAGCAAAAAGGAACAAGTGGGACTATATCAAGCTGAAAAGCTTCTGTATAGCACAGGACACCACCAATAGAACAAAAAGGTATCCTACAGTATGGGAGAATATGTTCATAAATGGCAGATCCGATAAAGGGTTCACATCCAAAATAAATAAAGAGCTCACGCACCTCAACAAAGAAAAAGCAAACAATCCAATTAAAAAATGGGCAGAGGGGCTGAACAGATACTTCTCCAAAGAAGAAATTCAGATGGCCAACAGACACATGAAAAGATGCTCCACATTGCTTGTCATCAGAGAAATGCAAATTAAAATCACAATGAGATATCACCTCACAACATTAAGGATGGCCACCATCCAAAAGTCAACCAACAACAAATGTTGGCAAGGTTGTGGAGAAAGGGAGACCCTCCTATACTGCTGTTGGCAATGTAAATTAGTTCAACCATTATGGAAAGCAGTATGGAGGTTCCTCTAAAAGCTCAAAATAGAAATACCATTTTACCCAGGAATTCCACTTCTAGGAATTTACCCTAAGAATGCTGCAGCCCAATGTGAAAAAGACAGATGCACCCCTATGTTTATCACAGCACTATTTACAATAGCCAAGAAATGGAAGCAACCTAATTGTCCATCAGTAGATGAATGGATAAAGAAGATGTGGTACATATACACAATGGAATATTATTCAGCCATAAGAAGAAAACAAATCCTACTATTTGCAACATGGATGGAGCTAGAGGGTATTATGCTCAGTGAAATAAGCCAGGTGGAGAAAGACAAGTACCAAATGATTTCACTCAAATGTGGAATAGAAGAACAAAGGAATAACTGAAGGAACAAAACAGGAGCAGAATCATAGAACCCAAGAATGAACTAACAGTTACCAAAGGGAAAGGGACTGGGGAGGATGGGTGGGAAGGGAGGGATAAGGGGATGGAAGAAGAAAAGAGGCATTACTATTAGCATGCATAATGTGTGGGGGAGGCATGGGGAGGGCTGTGCAACACAGAGAAGACAAGTAGTGACTCTACAGCATCTTACTACGCGGATGGACAGTTACTGTAATGGGGTTTGTGGGGACTTGGTGAAGGGGGGAGCCTAGTAAACATAATGTTCCTCATGTAATTGTAGATTAATGATACCGAAAAAAATATATATGTAGCTGTATCTCTAAATAAAAGAAAGGAATAAGAAAAAATTCAATGAATACTGCACCATGTTATCATTCAAAAGTGATTGACTGTATTCTTCTACCTACTTGTCCCTTCTAAACAAGTATCATGTCCCTTCGTTGCAGGGGAAGAGTGAGGGAGCAATGTTTTATAGAAATAACATCTAGATGCTCAGAATTATAGGTGTAAATATTGCTCAAATAATACTTGCAAGAGCAAAAGCCTCTGGAGACATGGATTAGTTAATCACCAGAAATTTCAAACAGTGAGATATTTACCAAGCGTCATCTGGTAAAAAGGCTCTGGCAAAAGCCTACCCTGAGATACAACTGCTTCAGATACGCTACTCAACTTGAAGCAAGCAGTTATCTCCTTTTTTGAATACCATTTGTTGGAAGCTTTGGCAGAGTAGATCTGCCTGAGAGAACAGAAAAAAATGATTTAAAAAAAGTTACTGACAGTTTTCTCCCTCCCCACCCCTCACTGATTGTTGGTACAGCTTCTAGTTCAGAACTAGGGATGAAGGTGGATTTTCTAACTCTTCTGTAATGAGTACGGAGATCTTAAAAATTTCAGGAATTATAGCTACCACACTGTCTGCAAAAAATTCATTATCAGGGTTAGAACACAAACATTGCTAGCCCTCGAAACAAAAAGTATTTTCCAAATACTGAATGAAAGGGTTAGGATATTCTGAACTCTATATCCACAATCTATCAAATACAATGCTAGGGCAGAAATTTGCAGGGAAAACACATCACTGATTTTAAAGCTGATTTTATTATGCTATCCACTATCCACAAAAGCCTAATAGCTAAATTTGCAGTACTCGAGCCGACTCGTTTAATTATTACAGTGCCAACAGTTCAACTTCACAATAAGGTCTAGGGAAAGGAACGCCTTCGACGACTTACAATATTAACTAAACCAGGATAACTCTTTTTGACGCCTCCCGGCTATCAACAGGGCTACCGGGTAAATGAATTGTTTCCACCGTGCAGCTGCAGCAGTTTCTCAATCCCTCTTAACAGTGGTTCACGCTTGTCGAACTGACCACGCGGTGTCTTGTGGGATGGTCACGTGGACATCTCGTGACTTCCACGGGGAATCGATCCTCCCCACATTAGGAAATAAGTTATGAGGCGCGCAGTAAAGTATTGAGAAAGCATGCAGCTGACGATCTGATAGGGAATGCGTGTGACACATGAACCAAGTCGGAGCCCGCAAGTGCTGGTGTAACAAATGCCAACATCTTGCTACTTTTAACAACTAGCTTCCTCACAGCTCTAGCAGCCAGGTGCCGCCGGAATGCAGCGCCCGGGCTCGGAGCCCAGCGTCGCCCCGCCACCGCTCCGACCTTCCTCGGAGCCGCGCATGATGGACGCGCGCACCCTACCAGGCGCGGACAGACCGCCCCGACTCCGGCTCTTACCGCCGGAGGACTCGCAGCCCCACGCAGGGACGAGGTTCGGGGTGCGAGGGAAGCGGACACAACTGTGCGTGGTGGCACCGCCGCTCCGCGCCGCCAGCCCTACGAGCGCGCGCGCCCGCTTTGTGCACGCCAGGCTCTGCGGCACGTGACCGGCGCGCGGCGCGGGTTCCGCCCCCTACCCGCTCGGTCCCGCCCGGACCCCCGACACGGGTTCCAGTCTTTGCCACCAGCTGCCAGGTAGGGCACAGCCTCCGCGCCCCGCCCCCCGTCACACCCGACGGGGGAGAAGGGGTGGCCCGGGCTCTGAGGACACCGAGGAGCTGTGGCGGGGAGAGGAAGCCTCCCCAGTCAAAGCAAATATAAATACTGGGTTAATGCTCTGCAAATTTGTTATTAAGCAAATACATCACCCAGCTGTCCAGATTTTTTTCTTTTCTGCTTCGGTTGCGACTTTACCCATGGGAACTTCGCTGGCAGTGTAAATTAGCTACGTCCCTTTTTCTTTTCACGGGTCAAAGGATGATCGCAAAATGCCATACAGGTGTAACGGTTACAAGCTAATTATGAGAAATGCTTAGAGATGAGGATGACAAAATTTCCTTCACTTCCTCCCCCCATCAAATCTTTCATAAAGGGTCCACTCTTCAGACTCGATTCACAACAGGTCTAGGAATTAATGCAGTCTGCAATGTGAAGGTTCAAACTCCAGTATTATTACAACCTTAAAAAATATATGCACAACTAAAAAAGACAAAAAAATAAGTACTTGAAAATGTTTTCAACTTTCCTGTATTTTCCAATGTATTTAATGAACATGTTCTTTTGTAATGAAAAATTAATAAATATTTTTAAGGGACCATAGTTTTTCAGTCAATTGAAGTCTAGAAAAGTATATTGAGAACCCACTGTAGAAGGATTGGGTCATTGAACCATATCTAATACATCATGTGGCAGATGTCTCAGAATGTCTTTGGAGAACATAGAGGGCATTGTTTGTATATCCCAGTCTAGAATCATCTTTTAGTAATAAAAGATGTCTCAGAATGTCTTTGGAGAACATAGAGGGCATTGTTTGTATATCCCAGACTAGAATCATCTTTTAGTAATAAAAAAGGCTTGACTAGCATATTTCAACTGCAAAATGTGTGGTAACTAAGGCAGTCACATTTGCCTTGCAAAGAAGAAATCTCAGGGTTTATTTTCTAAGAATACTAAATTATCTTCAGAGCCAAAATAAAAATTGATGATTGAAGTAATTTTCCACATGATTCCACAAAAGCCTTCATTCTTACCATGCTGATTCAATTGCCTAAATTCACTACTCTCATTTTTTCAACTCACTGTACTCTCTCCTTGAGTTAGTAAATCAAGACTAGGAAGATGAAGGTGATAGCAGGTAATTATTACAATGACCCATAAAAGAAGTTCCCGTGTTGCTAAGATCATTAATTGTAATTCATTTTTACAGGAGTCTCTTTGGTATTTACTTTAAAAATCTTTAGGAAAAGACATCTCTCACATTGTTATTGCCAACTAGTTTGGACAAAAACACAAGGGTGTGATAATTATTGTAGAACACTGCGGTCCACTGGAACTTTCTGCAATGATGGAAATGCTCTGTAACTCTATCTTGTCCAATACAGTAGTCACTAGCCACAACTGACTACTGAGCTCATGAAATTTGACTAGAGTGACTAAATAGTTGAATTTTTTATTTCAATTTAAATAGCCACATATGGCTAGCAGCTACCATCTTGAACAGTGTTGTTCTAGAACAACAAAGCAACTATAGTTGATCTTTGAACAACCCTTGAAGATTTGAATTGTGTGGGTCCACTGACGTGCAGATTTTTTTCAGTAAATGCAGTGCAGTAAATGTATTTTCTCTTTACGATTTTCTTAATATTTTCTTTTCTCTAGCTTTATTGTAACAATACAGTATATAATACATACACAAAATATGTGTTAATCAACTGTTTATGTTAGTAAGGATTCTGGTCAACAGTAGTCTATTAGTAGTTAAGTTTTGGGGGAGTCATAAGTTGTAAGTGGATTTTTGTGGGAGGTCAGCACCTCTAACCCCCATGTTGTTCAAGGGTCAGTTGTACCGTATTGTCATCAGTCATGTCATACTCTATTTGTTTGATAGTTATAGGACCTCTGGAAACTATTTTCTCCAAACTTCATGAGCAGCTAGGTATTGTAACTTTGCAGATGGAGCACGTTAAAGCAGCTATGTCATCCCTATATCCGCTGTAAGTAGGAATAGAAATGGAAGCTCTGGATAGATGGAAAAGGGATTTGTGAGTAACTAACCCTTTGCCCTGCCATTCCTGTGGCAGCCTGACTCAACTGAAAAATTAACTAGGTAATCTAGGACCACAATGCACTTCATCAGAATTGTCCATTGCCTCATTCAGACTGGATCCACCTAGCATGCTTCTATTTACTTGTTTCAGGAAACTTAGGAGCCCACAGCCCTCTACTACAGTTGCCCTCCCCGCATTCCAAGGATACCTTCCAGAACACAATTCCCTCCAGATTACAGTACCTGATGTTTGTATCTGTGCAGTTTCATCTCTGGCCCGAAACATCCCAGAATGCACTTTGTGCATTGCATGTTTTAAAAACACTCCCCTGGTGCCAGTGTGACTTTGAAGTGCTACAGGAGCACACTAAAGGCTTGTTAAATCTTATTAAAAGGAGGGTTTTATGGACTGAGACTTTGGGGAGGCCTTTGGGTAATTACTGCCTGGAATGCTGAAAAGTAGGTCAGATGTCATCAGGCAAATCCAGATAAATTGTTGAGTTGGGGAAAATTAACTATCCCCTACACCTACATATTAAGCACTTTGTAGTTATTATTAACTCCAGAGCATAAAGGCTATAAGGTCATTGGGCGTGTTTTCTCTCTTAAAAGCTGTCTAAATTTTATTTGCCATTTGTGCCATTACATTCAGTTTATTTAATAACTGAAGTAAGTGAGTTGGTATATTTCCAGATATTAACTGATTTTTATCTAGCCTTAATTCTGTGCCTGTCCCTCTTTTGCTAGGGATACAACACACAGACATCTAAGCAACTGCCTTCCACCAATGACTGCTTTTGCTGGATCCCTACACAGAAAAAGTTTAGAAAGGTCTCCTATATCTGTAGTTTCTTGGTTGCAAGCAACAAGCACAGCACTGGCTGACCTAGGCAAGTAGGAATGTATTGCACAGTATCAAAGAAACAGCTGAAAATCTAACCTGGCAAGGGCAGGACAAAGGCATTTCCAGGGATCTGGGTAGGAAGAGCTAGTCTATAGTTTTTCCAGGACACTACCACAAGGAAGGAGTAATTTCCAATTATTTTAGTTTCCTGTCCTTTTGGCATTCTTCACAAGAGGGAAAACTGAGAAAGACAGAGACAGGCTGACTTTTGGCTTACAGGGCAGGGCACCTTGGCTGACAATCCCACAAGACTACCTTCCATAGGAGAGGTAGCTACCCACCTACCTATAGACACACACAATATCCTGGTGCAAAGCTATTACCAAAAGAAAAGGCCATGGATAATGGGCACCCACAATCATAAAAATACCCATTAGAGCCTGTTTTTCAATCAAGCCCTTCTCTTTCATAGCTTTTCCCATAAGACATGGGCTTGTTAGGCAACATTTCCAGTTCTCCCTCTAGCCCTTAACTCTGTTTATCATGAATATATATCCTGCTTTTCCATCCGTAACTGGCCAAGCAGTGTGCCTAACAATTACACCACCCCTTCTTGAAGGCCTCAGCCCTGCCCAGAGCCCCCTTTTGAGAGCTTCCTCATATGACCTACTATTCTTGGCTCCACAGTGGTCACCTTTCTATTAGGCTCACTAAAGCCCTGTCAGATAGTCTCTGGCCAGCAGAAAAGCTCTCTACTGAGTAGTAGTAAAGAATGTAGACTCTCTCAGGGCCTATTTGACTGGGAAGTATACAAAGTACAGTCTTTCACCAGGCACATGGAGGGGAAGTGAAGGCAGAGGAAAACAGAAACCATGGGACAACAAGAAGGAGAGTTGAAAAAAGGTGATGAGGAATAGCAGAAGCAAGAGCAGAAAGAGTGACCGAGACCCCCGAGGGGGAAAACACTGGAGTAGGGAACAACAGGTAAGGCTCCCCAGAGGGCGCTAACCGGGAGCTAGAGTTTTATCTTCACAGCTGCGCAGCAGCTCAGGTGTTCCTGCTTGTATCTCTCTGTATTGTTGCAACAAACTCCTACTCTTAACCTGATGTAACCTCAGTGTTTCTCTACTCCTTGAACCCAGAAAGAGCCTGACACACTACTGCCAGCCTTTCTTGCTCTCAGCCCTTTTGTTCTTAATCTCCAACAAACAGCTCTGTCCATACTGCCTTTCTGTTCAGTAGCTGCCTGTTCCTGCAGGGTCTCCACTGCTCTTCGCTCTTCTGAGCCTTCTAAAACACATCTGTTTTCCAAAGCCCCAGTAATCTCTACTGTCTGTTCCCAAGTCACCTGTCAACACCTGATACCTCAGATCAAGGCCCGTCTCTTGATGAGTTACCATAGCAAGCGGTATTAGTTCATTTATTGAAGATCTAAGCAAAGGCATTTGATGGGCCAGTGTTTGGGTCTGAATTGGAAGTAGATCAAATCACAGACTCCTAGATCTTAGATTTGGAAGGGTCATCAGAAGTGTGCATAAAAGAGGGTTCCTGTGGCCAGGATTCTCACCTGGCCCTGGTTGACTAGCTCACTGCACACCTGTGGGCACTGCATGGCTGTTGACTCTATAAAAAGAGCTCTGCCCAGTGTCTGGGCTCGACACAGTGGCAGGGCTGCAAGGCTGCAGGAGAGCAGAGCAAAGGCTAGAGTGGTGGCAGCGCTGAGGGCAGAGGCCTAGATGACGGCTGTGCGAGATGACTATGCAGAGAGGCCCGGAGGACGGCTGGGCAAGACGGCTGTGCAGAGAAGCCCAGAGGACAGCTGTGTGGACAGAGGGGCCCAGAGGCAGAGACCGGCTTACTGCATGTAGACTCGCTCTGAGTGAATGGGATTCTAATGACTGAACTGCCACCTGGAAATAAAGTTGGGTATAACCCTTT